CCCCAAAACCCCAAAACCCCAAAACCCCGCAATATTGAAGGTAAGTTATCTATTGAAATTAAGATAATTAAGGAAAATTAAAGAATGTTAAAGAGAATTATAATTATTTCTCCTAATAGATATTTCCATTCATTGCTTTGGTATATATGTACTATGTTTAATATTTGGATGGCAAAGCACCCATTAGTTAATCTGATCACTTTTGATATTTATTTATACCTGGTAGTTAGAACTTTACATGTTTTTAATTGGCTTCATTAGGTTTCTCAATGAGCTCCTTGACATATCTCTGCTTTCTCTTTACATGCTTGAGATTGTCAGTGAGTTCATCGAACTATCGCTGCCAATCAATTTTCATTAACTAGTTAAATCTCTCATCGTTACTTTTAAACTTATACTTCGGATATATTTCCCTGTCTTGAAGTCGGCACATGCTAGCTGAAGAATCCTTAAGGATTGACTAGGACACGTTAGGGTTAGCTATTGTAGGATTTTCTTAGACGAAATGATGATTCCTTCTTGAAATATTAGACGATGTAAGAGTGCCAGTATTCTACGTAGAGAGGTCTGATGTTTTTCTTATTTAATTCGATTTAAGTTTAATCACATTCCTATCTGATGCTATAGTAATATCTTTAGGATCCAAATGCTGCTAAATTCCTCTTTTAATCGGCTTATCGATGATAACACTTTAAAACTTGGACCCTTTTATTATTGGAATTTCATCTTCTTCGTCATCCTCTTAACTCTAATCTTCTTCTTTCAACTCCTTTTATTCAATATTTTTTTCTAGCCTGCTCTAATTTAAGAGATCTCTATCTATTCTACAGTCATCATTTGAATCTTATGATATTTCGGTCAATTTCCTATGTCTTTTATTTAGTCCTCGATCAATGTGTATATCCTTGAATCCTATGCATTTATCTGACGAATCATCCTGAATATAGTGATTCATTGATAGCTTGGCATTATTACTATTGGTAGTTAATTTTGGTAGATTGATTTAGCTTTTACTTATATCTCTATCTGCTTAGGATAGGATAGACATAATTTTACTTTTCAATGGTTTTTCACTTCTTTCCCTGTAGTTATACTAAGGATAAGCTGTTGGTTTGACGTCATCTTTCTAAATATCTATTGTTTGATGATTATTCAGATTCCTCCCTGTTGTAACCTGACTTTTGCTTTGACTCTGCATTTAGTATTAACTCTTTACCTGTATGTCAGCGACTTATCCTTATAAAGTTTATCGTCGTTTTATTTATGGGTTAATCACAGCTCTTTTCTGATTATGAGAAACCACAATGCTTCCACTCAGATAATTAGATGCTCTAAGGTCTTCATGCGATGACTGTTTATGGTTGATTCCTGTTGTATAGGCACTATCTGTTTCTTTTGAGTTATTAATATTCTGATAAGGAGTCTATCTTTACTATTACAAGTTATTGCTAATATTGCCGAAGTTATTTATACCATTATACTAGGTAAATATCTGAATCTCAGCCCCAATCTGGTTAAGATTGTCGTAGTTTTCATCTTTCTATATCAATGGTATTGTGATTGCTGAATTAGGTATTGGGGAGACCTTATTAATGCCATTGTTTGGCTTAAACTATTCTTTTAAAATGCTCCTTACCTTTTCTCTGGATTTATCATTCATATTATTAAAGTTATTAGTATTGTAATTTTGAGATCTATTAGAAGTTGTATCAATCTAATTTTATATGAATTTTATAGATCTTCTCTATACTGATAGACTATTCTTTTTCTTAGGGCTAAAGTTAGATATTATATTACTCTACATTGACCCATCTCTTATATCATTATCTGATTAAGGAGGAATAAATACACTGTAGGCTATCTTGGGGTCATTTTCCTTACTCTTATTCAAATTTTCGAAAGCCTCTTGATTAAGGTGGTCGACGGTGCTATTTTTGATTCCATTTCTAGAACTTGCATCTTTAGTGCTAGCATCTGAGTATTAAGGTTCAACTGGAGCTGAGGTATAGAGAGCAACATTATTCAAAGATTTTTTCTTGTCCTATATTTTTTGGATAATTTTATCTGCTCTCACATCATACCCATAGATAAGTTGCAGATTCTAGAGTTACTTAGAATCTTCGATGTTTTTATCTTTCTCATCTTTTTCGAACTAATCCTGCGTGCCTCTTGGAGATCCATTGCTAAAATTGAATTGATCATTTTCATAGCCTCCGCATTTCGGAGGTGAATTGTTATAGGAGCGTAGTTCTCTGGTAGATTTACGGAGCAAATCCTTTATCTTAATGTTTTTGAGATAGGGGTTATTGTGAGAATTGAGATAACTATGCTAAGATTTGTGAGCATTGATGGCATCCTTTTCTGTGGATATTATGGCTGTCTAAATTTTACTACTCATTTTAACTAAATCAAAACAATATAAATCACAAATTTATTACTAATAATAAGATGTCGATAAGAGTTGAGGAGCTATCTAAAAAATTGCAATTTAATTAGGTTTGAAAATATATTATTGTAATAAATCAGGCACCTCCTTAATTAAACTTATCAGAATGCACCCTATCATATTTATCATTTTATTTTATTTACAACGTCTTTTTAAAAAAGTATATAGATCTAGGCTATGGGGTTTTGGGGTTTTGGGGTTTTGGGGT